TTACCTTTTTTAATGATTGGAAAAAATAAAAACAATATTTTGTGACACATGAAAATTGTATGAAATTCAAATTTCTGGGTCTATCCATAGTTTTGTTGAAACAGCACATTACTGACGCCCTGTCTGCAGCTGCTTTTCCACAAGTTGGCAGAACAGAGACTGTGTGGCCACAAAGCCCAAAATACTTTACTCCCAGCCCATCCCAGACACACTCTGTCATCCTGATCTGCCACCTTCATCATCACTCCCACTGTGCATGAGCTGCTCCTTTGGTCTGGAAAGTTCTTCCACCAGATCTCAGGCTAGCTCTTCCCTTCTTGTCACTGAGATCTTAACTTAAACGTTACCTCCTGAGAAGTATTCTGCGGCTACCTTGTCACTCTCCTGTCTTTTCACCCTACTTTCATTTTTGACCCTATTGACTGTTTTCTTCCCTGAACCAGGTACCTGACTTGCGGAGGCACCAGGGGAGCAGCACAGACTGAAACACAGGAGACTGTGAGCTTATGACTGAGTGGGCAGGACAGAAAAGGATATCCCTCTGTGGCGTGTGCGGCTGTGACACGTCTACTGCCCAGCCACCCTGAGCTCAGCCCAGAGGAAACACTGGTGGTCTGCCAGCCACGGCAACGCTCTGCCCCAAGCCTTGCCCACACAGGGAGGGACATTCAAACCTGCCCAGACAGTGCGCAAGGCTCTGCAGGAGCCCCACCCTTCATTTGAGTCCTGGAGTCCTGGAGGCTCCCAAGGGCCACCCACATCCACACCCTGCTCCTCCTTCCAAAATGGAAGGAGGTTCTAGCAGGTGGGTGGGGTTGAAACCTATAAAGCTTGCCACACAAAATCAACAATAGCCAAGGTCAAGGATTGCTCAAGGTCTCAGGGAGCCCCTGGCATGGGAACACAGGGCTGAGATTCGTCTCAGCCACACAGTGGTGCCGCCACCTGATCTCCACCTCCACCCTGCAGCCCCGTCCCTTTCCACTTTCCTGGACCTCCCCTGCCCCATCCACAACCTCCTGACTCTCTGCTGACCCTGCCACTTAAGCCAACTCCAATCCCCCCATCTCCCACACACACCCTCTCCTCCTTATTGGAAGCTCTTTGAAGACCCGTCTGCAGGCCCTGTCTCTGCAGCCCCACCTCCCATGCACTCCTCTGTAGCACCAGTCTGCCTGATCTCTGTCACCACCAAGGAAGGATGCAGCCCAGAATCCGCCAGGGACCATCAGGCCTCGCAGTGTTCCTGGCAAAGGAGCCCACGCCCCTCTCCATGGGGCCCTCTCCCCAGGGAATCTGTGGAACTAGACTTTCCTGTACCTCTATGTCCTTTTTCCTCAATGTGCTGTGCTGGCAAGGATTTGCCCGAGGCCGCACAGCTTGGAAATGGTGGGGGGAGGTTCCCACCCTTCCTTCCACCACCACACAGGGATTCAGTATGGTGGTGGCATGACACACATGTGGAAAGGTGATCAGGGCTGGGGTCAGGGGGCAGAGGTTGGGGGCTAGTCTGCAAAGACAGGAGTGTTATCCTGAAGTCTGTGAGGAAGATTTCAAGGAGACTTCAAGAATCAAATCTGCATATCAGACCCATCAACCCTGGCAGGTGAGAAGGATAAAGTCAAGGGGCTGAGACAGAGCCAAGAAGATCAGTAGGAGCAAATGCTCTGAACTCAGAAGGAAATAAGGAGCCCCAGCAGCAGGCTACTGGGCAGGGGGATGGAAAGCAAGGGCCGGGATCAGGGGTATTTAGGCGGAAGTTTGGAAGGAGCCTGAAGGTGGGAAGACACTGCCAGCTAGATGTCTGGCTTTGGCCAACAGGTAGACTGTGGTAGAGGCTTTGGGCTGGGTCACCAGAGCCTCACCTGAGACTGAGTTTCCAAAACTGCATGCAGTGGAGACAAGACCCCAGCGTTGAGCCCACAGATACAAGGGCCTCCTTCCTAGCAGCCTGCCAGCTCAGGCAACCTTCTGAGGAGAGCAGAGTCTAGGATGAACCAGTGGAGAGCCTACAAGGAGGTGAGGACAGTCCTGCTAAAGCTTCCTCATCCCATTCTGAGCAAGAGCTCGGGTGGAGGGTGGGGTCAGGTAGCTGGCTCAGAGCACCACACATCCCCCAACCAGGGACTCCCAGAGCCAGCCACCAGCCCCTTAGGCAATTCAGCTCCAGGGTAGGGCTACCCTCGGTACCTCTGAAGAGAATTAGGGGGCCCAGCCAGGAGCACAAAGGCCCCTTTACACCCCTTCCAGGGAAACCCAGTCCTGCCAGGGGAGCACCTGAGGGAGCAAGGACAAGGACTGAGAGGAGCAGTGTTGTGCTCCCCTCCACCTCCACCCCCGAGGTAAGGATCCAGGAAGAAAAGGAAAGCCCAGCGCTTTGGGGAGGGCTAACTTTTCTTCAGCTTCCCTAAACCTGGAATGATTCCACACACATGTCCCCTCTCTGCACCCATGGAGATTAACCCCATAGTGGTCTCAGACTCTGCTCCAGGACAGGGAGGGGCCCCCACCAGGCATGGATACCCCCTCCCAGGCCTGGAGCACCTCGATACCAGCACAGGGCCAGGCACTTTCAACACATCAGTCACTTTTCTTGCCCTGAGATCAGTCTGTGAGCTGGAGCCCAGAATCCCCATCACAAGTGAGGTGACTTGAACCCTTGGAAGTTTCAGGAACTTGCCCCAGAAAGGCTCTAATTTCTCCTCTGGCCTAACTCCAAAGTCCACACAAAGCCTGAGCAAGTCACTTCTCTGCAGGCCTCAATTTCCTCAGCTGAAAATGGAGATAATTTTATGCTGCCTACCTGACCAACAGGTTGCAAGAATGAAAACAACTCCAGTTATAGCTAGAACGCGGAAAGCCCTGCTGGTGGCCTTCACAGCCTACCACTTCAGAAGCCTTCCTGACCCTGACATGGGCTATCCTGGGCCTCAATCACCTGAGCCCTAGTCGGGCCTGGAGACCTGTGCCCTGACTCTGGCCCCTCCCTGTCTCCCCTCTCCCCTGGAGCCCCGGCTTCCCCTCTCTCCCCAAGGCCGGCCTCCTCTCTCCGGCCCCCCTCCCCCGACCCGCGTCCGGTCCTCCGGCCCGCCGCGCCCCCACGCCCAGGGCCCGGCCTCCTCTCCCCACACCCAGCCCGGTTCTCCCCG